TGCCTGGCCTCGAACCCCAAGCCATGTCTTGAGGTGCTTGACCTGGTGATGAGGTGTTCAGACCAGGATCCCTAACGTCCCCATCACCCTGGTCTTCCCGTGAGAGCGAAACCTGGGAGGAGAGTGGCAGTGATTGGAGCTCGCAGCCACCCGCTCGCTGGGTGTCGGGACTCGCGGTAACAATCCCGGTAACTACCATATCACTGGGTGCTCTCGGTGCACCCCAAACTTGTACGTTCTTTAGTTTTTTTTTTTTTATTTTAATTTTATATTTTTAATTTGCTAGAGGGCACATGCACTTGCTAAAGAGAGACAGAGAGAGAGAAAGAAAGAAAGCACTCACCGCCATAAGGCATGGCCACGCCTCAGTCCCTTCTCCTCCATTTCTCTCTCCTTTTGGAAGTCTGGACATGCACGCACACATGTCTGGTTTTCAAGCCACCAGCTCTAGAACTGACTCAAACTGCATAGTAGGCCATGTGGGCTCCAACAGCCTGAAGCACCATGGTCCCGACTGGCCAAAAATGCTTTATTTTATATAGGTCTTCTCATCTGATTCTCATAGTCACTTAGGAGTTTTAGGTACCATTCTTCTTTTTATTTACTTATTATTATTTAAAATTTGCTATAGGGCTCTTGTGTTCATTGGAGAGAGACGGGGGTGGGGGAGAAATCGCCCCCAATGGGGGACGGCCATGTGGCAACCCCTTCTCTTCCATTCTCCTCTCCGGATTTTAGGCATGCATGCACAGTGCCTGGCATAGTTTCAAGCCTCCATGTTTGGGACTCATACCGTGTTGGCCATGTGGGATCCAGCACCCTAACTACCATGCCGCCAGCTGGCCCAGAGTTAGATACTTTTCTTATTCTTTTTTTTTTTTTCTATTTTATTTTATTTTGTAATTTCTTATTTAAATTTGACTTGTATCTCTTTGGAGGGTACACCATAGATTTTCAAGGTCTTATCCCCATTTGACAGAGGAGGAAACCGAGACTTCCAAATTTTACTTCACTCCACGAAGGTCCCATAGTTAGTAATAGTTCGTTCGGGTCAGGGTTAGCTCCAGGCACCCTGACGTGCATTTTCACAGCTCCCCTGGAGGACCAGACTGTTCGTGGTTTATTGTTATGGCGAGGTAACCCAGACTGCTACCTCACGGGACTTCTCAAGGGCGTGCGAGTCTTTGTGAAGGAGAAAGCATTTCCAAAGTAAAAGGAGGCTGTCCAGGCCTGGCAAGGGCCACGTGGCACTGAGGTGGAAGGGCTTCTGATCTGTCCTGCCTCTTTCCTATGGTACTGCTCCCTTGCGTGCTGTTTACAAAAATGGCCCAGCTGGGGCCAGCAGGTGGGTGGGGCTGGAGGGTGCTGGACTCCCACATGGCTCACAGCGTTTAAGTCCCGATCTGGCGGCTTGCTTTTTACTCCCTGCACCGCCTCATTCTGTCTCTCTTTGGTCAAATTAAAATAATTAAATAAATAAGGCTAAATAAAATAATTCTTTTTTTTTTTTTAAGAGACAGGATGAGAGAAAGAGAGAGAGAGAGAGGGAAAGTGCGAAAGCAAGCCAACAGGTCTGGGACTCAAACCATGGTTGGCCATGTGGGAGTTCAGTGCCCTCAACCCCCACACCACCTGCCGACTCCTAACAATAGTTAAGAAAAAAACAAAGTGGCCTACCCTGGTGGCACAGTTGTACCAAATTGAACTGCAGTGCTGGAAGCTGCATGGCCAACTCGGGGTCAGATTCCAGGTAGGCTTGAAAGCATGTCGGGGCCAAGGTCCTGATGAGCTTGGGAGGAGATGAGGCAAGGGATGACAGCACGAGACCCTGTCAGGGGTGCTCCTCTCTCTCTCTAGTGCCTGTGTGCCTGTTATCATGAATAAAATACTACAATAAACTTTAAAAACAAAACAACACCATGATCGAGAAATTGGTTCCCCCTCCTGTCCTGACTGCTTTGCAAAGAAGCAGGGGTCTCCAGGACTGCAGGGGGTTGGTGGCCTGGGTGATGCTTTCTGGATAATATAAATATGAGTTTCCTCCTAAATGTGTTGGATGGGAAGAGCAGCAGGCCAGGCACCTGGTCTGTTGTAGACAAGCTGTGTGATTGTAGACAAGTGTCTTCTCTTCTCTGGGCCTCAGGACCTGGGTTTGTGTGGTATGGGAGAGGGAAGTGAAGTCTCTGGTATCCAGGGCCTCCCGGGTCAGGCAAAGGGGCTCGGTCTGAGCCGCCCTACCCTCTTGGTGTGAGTGCAAGTGTGAATGAAGGTGAACGGGCCCTTTGGGCCTCTGAGGAGCAAGGGAGGAGAAGGTGTACTGGGGCCGAGGATGGAGCCCCCCAGCTGCCTCCCCATCCCCCCACCCAGCATGAGCACAGAGCAGGCCCCCGTGACTTGGGCCAGGTGGATGTTATGCCCAGGACTTGGAGCGTTAGAGCCAGAAACACGCTAGTCTCACACCCATTGTGCAGATGAGGAAACTGAGGTGTGGAAAGGGGAAGCCACGGACTGGATGTGAGGTGCACAGAGGCTCAGCTGGGCCTCCAGCAAACGCTCGGCCTCTTCTACTCGCTGGGGGGTCTTCACGGGCAGATATCGTCAGATGGTAACAAAGCAGCAGGAGGAAGGCAGGAGGGAAGAGGGCCTTTAAGTCCCTTTGGCTTTGAAGATGGAATAATCACGACTTCCTTCTCTAAATATCTTTTGGCCCTTCCTAGAACCAGATGGCGGATGTTTGGAATTTATGTTGTAAATAGTGTTTAAGAATGGGGTGAGGGTGCAGATATGTTACTTTCTCCAACTCCCCCCCCAAAAAAAAAACCCCTCAAGATCTGAAGGAGAAAAGGGAGGAGGGAAAACTATGAAAGGATTGTGGGAGAAGGGAACAGTGAGGGGGATGGAGGAGAAAAGAGGAGAGGTCAGAGGAGAGCGAGGGAAGAGGAAGCAAGATGGAGTGAGAGCAAGAGGGGGGGATAGAAAGGAAAAGGAAAACTGAGAGCCGCGTGGGAAAAGAGGGAGGAAGAGATGGGCAGGTGTTCCTGGGGTGCAGGTGCTCCGGGGGTGCAGGCGCAGGCAAGCTCCTTTTTGAGTTCAGGAGGAAAACCCTTGAGTCTTCTAAAAATAGCTCTGCTTTTCCCCCAGCGGGGGCTGGCGGCAGGGACTAAGAGAGACACACTTGCCCTTTTATGGTAAGAAAGAACCCAGGGCCCCGGAGGGGGAGCTGGCTGGAGCCTGCAGTTCTGGATGTAGCCCAGTCCCAGGGTCTGGAGTGGGACAGGCTCGGGTGGGGGTGTGACTTGGTGGGTTTCCTGACCTGGGGGGGTCCTACCCTTTGTGAAGAAAGGGCTGAGGTGAGTGTCAGCAGGGGCCACATAGGACAGCCCTGGGGTTCTACTGGGCCACCAATATGGTTGCAGAAGGCTCCTAGGGACATCTGGTCCACCCCATCTCCCTGTTTTGTAGAAGACTGAACTGAGTCCCAGATAGGGATGAGATTGTAGGTTCCTGTATGGTGGTTTCAGCCATGGAAAGTGAGTGGATCCCAAGTCCACATGAGGATGGGTGCTCTGGGGCGCTGCGTATCAGGGGAGAGAGCACGTCTGGGAGTCGGGAGACCCCAGGCCTACTCTCTGTTTGCACACGACTTGCTATGTGACCTTGAGTAATGTGCTATCTCTGAGCTTGGCTGCTCTCATGGGGTGACTGGGGTGTTTTTGTTTTTGTTTTTTAATTATTAATTTAAATTTGCCATAGGGTATGTACTCTTGCTGGAAAGAAAGAGGGAGAGAGAAACTGAGAAAGCACCCTCCAGGGGTAGCAACCATGCCACAATCCCTTCTCTTCTATTATCCTCTCAGGGTTTGGGGCAGGCATGCATACTCCCCCCCCCCCAAAGCCAGGACTTGAAACCGCTCAGTCAGTCATGTGGGATCCAGCTGCCCAACCATCATACCACCAGATGGCCCATCTCATAGGGTGATAGTTAGGGCCTTCCCAGCGTTTTGTCACTCTGGGAATTTCAAAGCGAAATAGCTCTGCTTTTCCCTGGATGGAGGGGAAACCATGGTTGCTATTTTCCTCCTTGCTGTGCATAGCTTGGTAGGTATAATCTGAGACCGACACTCCAGCAGAGTGGAGACCCATGGGAACCTGGGGGCTGATTATGAATGGAATCCCGACCCTCCAGTTGGCTGGCGCTCACCCCTCACTGGATACACAGAGGCCAGAGGGGACCTCAAGGTCATTTGGAGAGCTGGGGCCGAGTTGGAGTAGAACCAAGGGCTTCTTCTCTGGCCTTGGGCTCTTTAGATCTCCCATTTGCATCTGCTAACAACCTTGGGGACCATCTGTGGCCCCATGAAGGGACTTCCAAGGCGTTGGAACCAGAACTCAGGACAAGCTGCCATCTTCCGACTCCCTCTTGCAGACAGTTATACCCTACTGTCTTCCACCCCTGTCCCTGCCCTGGGCTGTGAAAAACATGTACCATCTCCATCTTTGGAGAAGGCAGAGAAGCAGCAGAGGAGGTGGACACTCTGGGGGTCTGGTCTTGGGCAAGTATCTTCCTGTTGTTGGGCCTTGGTTTCTGGATCTATACCATAAGGGGATAGGCCTTGATGCTTTTCAGTTCATTTCCGAAGGTCTGAAGGTCTACGATGCTATGCATGTAGGATCCAACACCGGGAATATTTGATAAGCACCTAGCAGGCCCACGAGGATGGGTGAGATGGATAGAGTGTTGCCATAGCTTCATGTGAGGTAGGGACCACTGTCCAAGGTTTCTGGAAGCCCCAATTCTGAGACCCTTCTGTCTTTATTCCAGGAGGACCTGGATTGACTCTCTGGCCCCCAGCTTGAATCTCGCTCAAATAGCCCTGGCCTTGACTGTCCAGAGATGCCTGCAGGCCTGGCCTGTGCTCGGGGCCATTGCTCCAGGACCCTCAGCAGGTCTCATCAACCTTGT